TTTCCACCTTCTGGGACTCTTGAGGCTTGGGAAGCTTCAGAAGAGTCCCAGAAGGTGGTGATTTCACCCCCTCTGACCCCTGGGGGGGCAGGGTGAGCCTCCAAAGGGTCCTGTGGTGTGTTCCATAAGATGGCCGTCTCCATAAGGCTCACCAATTTTTAGGAGCAGAAAACAGATTATTTCTTCCTGTTTTCTTCTCCTAAAAATTTGGTGCGTCTTATGGAGAGGTGCGTCTTATGGAGCAAAAAATACGATATATAGGAGGTCACCTTTTCTTTGGTTGCATCTGGACCTCAAACTGTCTTGTCTGAAGAGCTTTAATTAGCCACTTTCTTTCTGCCTTTCATTGTCATATTATGCCATGTTTATGTCCAATCTGGGATCTTTAGTTCTTTTATTCTTGACTAATATTTTCTTATTGTAAAATTATGAATTTGAATATTATCTTTATTAGCTTTTTAGAAGCCTTGAGACAGTTGTTTGGTACAAAAGATGAGTAAAAACTTTTTATAAATGGAAGGTGAAAATATTTTTCAGAAAAAAAATTAACTCCTGAAGTTACTGGGAGGAAATGCATTTCTAAAAATATTGCACTCCTTGGACATCTTTGGAGGGTAGCTAAGCTACATAATTCTTGTTATTATTGCCAGGGTGTTTATGCTAACTACCCATTTGAAAGTTTATTACCAGAATTAATTAATATGAATGTCATTTTCTGTATTATGTATTATTCTTTCCCACCCTCATAACCAGAATGCATATAAATTGGTGGTTTGGATACTGTATTCTGAGAAGTGGTCTATGCCCACAAAAGCTCATGCCAAATAAAACTTTCTAGTCTTAAAGGCTCCACAAGACTCGTCATTGTTTTTGCTGCTGCATAATAATATGGCTTCCTCCTTGGGAATGATCACATTTTCTGTAGCTGAGTAGTGAGTGAATCCATTCTCTTTGGTCTACAGGCAAAGGGTAGATCTTGTCCCTGATCTCATGCTTCATCCCCAGTCTTAGAGCTGTGTGTTTATGATTATTTCCACATGTGTATCTTGTAAACACTTCAGAAGTCCAGTGCAATGGGGGATAAGGCCTAGCTCCCTCTTGAGCTTGGAGCTTGATAGGATATTGTGCTGCACTTATGAAGTCCTTAGATAATTATTGAAGCACAATGCACATTTGCCAGGATAATCATACTCTAGAGTGGCTGATACTTTGTTCCATTTTGCTTCCAAAGCAATTGCTCACTAATGAAATGATGGTCATATACCACTTCCTCTATAAGCAGGAGATATCTTGGTGCGGCTATGAAGATGAATTCTTTATGGATAATAATTAATATGAAACTTAGCACAGTGTTATTCCAAGCCTGGCAGGCTAGCCAAAACTCTTGCCTTACCTATTTTGGGTTTCTGGAGTCACTTCTAGAAGGGGGGATAATAGGTTCAACTTGAGTTGTGTACCTATCATATTATCTTGAGTGTTAGGTAAATTGTGTTTTTGTTCATTCTCTCTGTTTTTATCTTAGCCCAGTGTTCCCAGGGCTGTTTGAATTTTGTTCTCGATATACTGGGGCCTCCTTGCAAGGAGCAACACAGCTGAATAATAAGGTAAGTAAGGAATGCCATGCTCAGTCACTTCTTGCCCTCAGAATACATAGGTTGTCTGCTGTCATCAGATCGTTGTAAGAGCATCTGTTCTGTATTTTTGTACAGCTAAATAGTGCTTATTATTATTAGTTTAGAAGGAGTTTCATGAGAGGCAGTGTAATGTAAGGGCTGCAATCCAGCAGTACGAATCAGGACGTCCCTCAATCATGAATTCACTAAGTGACCTTAGGTAAACCACAACTTTGGTTGTTGTCCCCAGTATAGAATTAATAATTCTGACCTACCATATGGGATTGTAGAAAAATGGATCATAAGGTATAGAGTCGACAGTTTGAAAATGCTGTACAAAGCTGAATACAGTGGTGCCTCGCATAGTGAGGTTAATCCATTCCGGATTAACCCTCGCTATGTGAAAACATAGCTAAACGGAATGTAAAAACCCATTGGAACGCATTAAACATCGTTTAATGCGTTCCAATGTGCCCTAAACATATCGTTCAGCGAAGTTTCCTCCATAGCGGCAGCCATTTTCACGCCCTTGGTAAGCGAGGGGAGGGCGCGAAAACGCTGCGCGCGGTCATTTCGGGGCTTCCGGCGGCCATTTTGTAACCGCCGAACAGCTGATCTGCGGGCATCGCAAAGCGAAGATCGGTAAGCGAAACGCTTTCCGATCGTCGCTATGCGAGTTTTTGTCATAGGGACCGATGTTATGCCTCCACATTAGCGATCCCGAAACAGGGATCGCTATGCAGATTCATCGTTATACAGTGCGCTCGTTAAGCGAGGCACCACTGTATTTTTAATATGGATGAGTAGCACAAGCCAGTTCAGAAATTTCTTATCATTTTTATCAAAGGAAGTGGACAGAATGTGTAAAGCTCAAACTGTAGAGGTTAATCACCTCTTAGCAGATCTTCTAATTTTAGTCATGTAGTGGTCTATTTTTGTCTGATGAGATGTTTTTATTATTAGATTTGTGATATTGCAATAAACTGGGCTGGAGGCCTTCATCATGCTAAGAAGTTTGAGGTAAGGAGGCAAGTCTGCTCTTCTTGACGGGTGGGGAAGGCTTACTGCTACTTTTCACTGATACTGTTTGCACTCTTTTTGTGCTCCAGGCTTCTGGGTTTTGTTATGTCAACGACATCGTGATTGGCATTTTGGAACTGCTCAAGTAAGGAGTTTGTGCAGGTGCCAATTTATTGATTGGGTTGGGGAGGAGACAATGTGAAGGATGCTATACAATACATGTATGGTCTTCTTTTAAAAAAAACCCAGCTCCTTGAGTTGTGTTCTTTCCCATTCTCTTCTCTTTGAAGCTTTATCTTTGACTTTTGTGCTTATTTATTCATGTCTGGCTGCCTCCTAGTAAGTAACAGTTCTTACTTTTCTTACACTTTCCTTAATTTCTGTTCAGTTGAAGAACTGTTTGCAAAGGTGTGACCTGTTTAGCAATAGGAAGCCTGGTATTTGTTGCTCTGTTTCCTCTGCAAGAAGACCAATGCAGTAGTGATGTGCTTAAAAATAAAATTGTAAAATTTGATCCATGCTCTTTTTGGAATAGTTCCTGCTTTGTCTTCTAGATTATTCATTAGATTGGAAAATCTCATTTCTTAGATTGTGACTTCCAGAACCAACAGCCAGCTGCTCATGCTCCTTTACTTAATTGTTATACAGTACCTGTCGGTTATTGCCCCTTGTAGATGGGTTTGCTCTGCTTTTGCCCTATTTTTTGCTGTTTAGCTGCATAATTTATCAAGACTGCAGTAACCAAATGGCTTGTTAGCTGTGGGAAGCCTCCTCTTTCTTCTTGCTGAAGGTCTAATGGAGAAATGTAGCCTGTTGCAAAGTGAAAGTAGAGAACCCCCTTGACTCCATGCTGAGAAGAGCCAAAATGTGCTGTACAGGACAGGAGATCACCAAGTTTGTATTGAACCAAATTGCATATGTGGTTTCTAACTTTTATTTTTTTTGTTCAGGTGGAGATTTTTTTTGTTTAAAGCTACATAATGCAAGTACAGCAGTACTTCATTCTCATGCTAGTCATAGTGTCAACTTTGCACTGTAACTGATTCCGGAGCAGCTTGTGAAGATATGGGAGCCTACTTAAAACAAACGTTTGCACTGATTTAGCTGTTGGCTCTCCACTAATTGTGGCTTTTTTGTTGTTGTTGTTGTTTAGTCGTTGTGTCCAACTCTTCGTGACCGCATGGACCAGAGCACACCAAGCTCTCCTGTCTTCCACTGCCTCCTGGAGTTTGGTCAAATTCATGTTGGTAGCTTCGATGACACTGTCCAACCATCTCGTCCTCTTGCCTTCATACTTTCCCAACATCAGGGTCTTTTCCAGGGAGTCATATCTTCTCATGAGATGGCCAAAGTATTGGAGCCTCAGCTTCAGGATCTCTCCTTCCAGTGAGCACTCAGGGTTGATTTCCTTCAAAATGGATAGGTTTGTTCTCTTTGCAGTCCAGGGCACTCTCAAGAGTCCCCTCCAAGCACCACAATTCCAAAGCAACAATTCTATTCTTCAGCGGTCAGCCTTCTTTATGATCCAGCTCTCACTTCCATACCTCGCTACTGGAAAAACCATAGCTTTCACTATGCAGATCTTTGTCACCAAGGTGATGTCTCTGCTTTTTAAACTGCTGTCGAAGTTCGTCATTTCTTTCCTCCCAAGAAGCAGGAGTCTTTTAATTTTGTGGCTGCTGTCACCATCTGCAGTGATCATGGAGACCACAAAAGTAAAATCTGTCACTGCCTCCATATCTTCCCCTTCTATTTGCCAGGAGGTGATGTGACCAGTAGCCATGATCTTAATTTTTTTGATGTTGAGCTTCAGACCTTTTTTTTTGCACTCTCCTCTTTCAACCTCATTACAAGGTTCTTTCATTCCTCCTCACTTTCTGCCATCAGAGTGGTATCATCTGCAAATCAGAGGTTGTTGATATTTCTTCTGGAAATTGTAATTCTGGCTTGAGATTCATCCAATCCAGCCTTTCGCATGATGTGTTCTGCATATAAGTTAAATAAGCGGGGAGGCAATACACAGCCTTGTCGTACTGCTTTCCCAATTTTGAACCAATCAGTTGTTCCTTATCCAGTTCTAACTGTTGCTTTCTGTCCCACATATGGATTTCTCAGGAGATAGATAAGGTGGTCAGGCACTCCCATTTCTTTGAGAACTTGCCATAGTTTGCTGTGGTCCACACAGTCAAAGGTTTTTGTGTAGTCAATGAAGCAGAAGTCAGTGTTTTTCTGGAACTCTTTGGCTTTCTGTATAATCCAGTGCATGTTAGCAATTTGGTCTCTAGTTCCTCTGCCCCTTTGAAATCCAG